TCGGCAGAAGCACTATTCGAGGATCTGAAGAGGGTCTGGGACGTGCCATTATCGCACAAGAGCAAAGTCCTTGCTCTCACGATACCCGAAGCTGGTGTAGCCGGGGCGCGCGGACGCAAGATAAATGACACCAGAAGGAGGGTCAATGAGCTTATCAAGGGGTATAAGAAGGAGAATCTGTAAGTCTACCCATACTTTCCCGCCGCACCCCTTTGCCCCTCTAACTCATATAGTCACGTATACGACCTCTGCGCCGCTGTACCATACCACTCCATGTCCGAGGACGACCGAGTGAAGTACTGGGATGATGGGCTCCACTTCACCCCTGACGGGTACGAACTGGTTGGCCAGAAGGTGGGTATGGCGCTGGTCTCGCTTCTGGTCAAGGATATGTTCAAGGGCCAGACGCCAGCCAAGCGAAAGCGCAACTTTCCTGATGATGATGCTATGTTTGAAGAGGAGGGTGGTGATCCGAAATCACTCACTACTGGGTATATTGTGGTGAGGTGGAAGGACCTGGAGTAGACCGGCGTGGGAAGATGTTCGAGGGGGGAAATTTCAGGTTGTCTTACCCGTGCTTGATTATGTGTTATGTTGCTAGGACATGGCGTTTTGGGTTGCGACTTACAGACATTGCCATGTTCACACAGTCTAGAGGAGTTTGGGGAAACAGGGAATGGCGAAACTGGCGTTGTCATTGACAAGACGTATCATGAATTCATCAACCATTATCTGTAATAGACACCATAACCCTGAACCCTGGGATAACTCCAGAACACCCTTCTAATGATGCTATGTCACGACAACTATGCAGCCCGAGCTAGCTGTTGCTCAACGAAGTCCTGAATAACTGTTAGCTTGGCTTAGGGATGAGTATCCAGGGGTTGGTTCACTTCCAGGAAACTCTGCCTGCAACGAGTTGGTTACCTGCTCCAATTCTTCAGCCAGATGGTGAATGTTTGCATCCCATCTTCGCATCTCCTTACCCACGATCATCTTTGGCTTCTCACCCGAGACATCGATGCCCTCAAAGTACACGACCCGGTCGATCTGGTCAATCCGTCCGGCCAAACGCCCCTGCTCGATCATCCTAGAGATAGTCTCTTCTGCCCTATCACCGTCAAGACCTATCAAAGGCCCAAGTGCGTCGAACCCAATGTTGCTATACAATCTGCTGGCTCCAAGGAGGTTATGCTCTATGACGGCCTTCTGCAGGACGGTCGAGCCATCAGCCGTGATGGCAAGCTGGTGCTCCTGCAACCCTTCGGCGAACTTTGCCACTTCTTGCGGTCCAAGCAGGCGGTCAAGGAAGATCTTCTCCAATATTCCGTACTCCTCCAGGCCAGCCGATCTTTCATCCTTGTAGAGTCTGCCGAGCACCCGACTCCGTGGCGGACCAGCAGGTGCCAGAATAGCGCACTTGATAGCCATGGCTAGTGTGTGAAGCCTCTCTTCCTCGGCGATGTCATTCGACATGCTGATGCCATGGTAACTCTGCGCCGCAGCAAGAAACTCTCGCTTGGAGTCCTGGATGCGAGCCGAACTGAGTTTGAAGTGCAGGTTGAGCTCTGGGTCGGTGATCGTGTGCATGACATTCTTCAGTTTGTTCAGGTACGTCTCGGCCGACGCACTGTTGTCGACTTCGAGGTAGTTTCGCACGATGCGGATCCATATCTTGACCTTGTCTTCATCGGGAACGCGGCGTTGGGAGCTGTCAAGCGTGATCTCGGAGAGTGTCTTGGCGGCGGCGAGGTAGTCCTCCTTGTTCTCTTGCGCAGTGGCAACGAGCTCGCAGACAACGGCAATCTGATCGAGGTAGGCGGGGCCAGTCGCCTGGTTTCGGGAGATGCCCGACACGATCTGTTGTCCGACGTCAATCCATAGATCGTGGTTTTCGGTAGACCTGAGAGTTGTGATGAGCTTGGCAAAGAGACCGCGAGCTTTCATTACTCCAACATTGCTCTCTATTATCGTTTCCAAGATCGACTTGAGGTCGTCCCCTATTGTCGCAGGAGTCGATAGGCTCTGGATGTTGTCGAGTATCCTGTCTAGACCCGGGGCTGGATCAGGGCTGGCCCGCACCTCGTCGAGGGCTTTGGCCACGGAGCCCATCGTGAATGTTGAATCTGGATGACCGATCGAGCGTCACGAAGATGTTCAAGGATTATGTGGTATTCCAACAGTCTAGTGTAATAGCTGGCGGCGGGGATCGGTGACCGATTGTTTATTGTTGACGAGGCTGCAAAGATACCTCCAGCTACCCTAGCCTTGCTGTCCAAGGTGCTCTTGTGTGACGCTCTGAAGGACCGAAAGTGGCGGGGTAGCTTCCCTCCCCCAGAAGGTCCAAGCTCTAGACTACTGCTGCAACGTGGTGTGGACCCTTACCCCTTGCGCTAACCTAGAACGGGAAGCCTAGCTGGACCGCAGCTTGACTTCACGACAACGATGTCCACGATCATTATCATCAGAAAATGCCGACTGGAGTCTAAACAGTAAACTTAACAGCACTCAGACTAATTCTTCCATGTGCTGAGGCAAGGCGATCCGCCAGTTCTGGCTAATCTACCCCACTCAGCTTAAGGCTTACCTGGCACAAGGCTTAGCGCGCGCTCACCGGCCCTTGATTTTGCGACCGTGATTGTACGTCACGTTTCGAAACCCCAGAGCCAGTCGCGGGTGCATCTAGCTACTGCTTGACCAAGTTTAGAGTCAATGGTTGCGCAAATACCTAGTTGCCTCTGGCGCGATCCTGTTGAGGGATCTTCTTCGTACCTCAGGACCTGGGTCTTTGGACATGCTTGTTTGTTTCAAGTGAGGCTTGCCCGAGCTCTCACTGGGCACCAGCATAAGTCATGTCAAGCTTATGAATTCGTTTGTACCCTTGCGGCGGATGAGCAGCGTAGGCTTTTGTGCCCTCAGTGCTGTATCCTCGACGCCACATGGGTCAACAGCAAGGGTGCCAGTCATTGCATGTTTCGGCTGTCGCCACCATTGAGTTTCATGCCATGTGTCATGGTCTTTCAACAACAGCAACACCAAACGGCGGGTTTCAAACTGACCTTCCTCGAGCTTCATCCCCATGCCGAATCATCCAACACATGCCTTTTTAGGAAGTTTCACTTACAGCGATGCCCTACAGCGATACCTTCTTGGAAGTCTCATGCCGGTAATACGGCACTTTGAAGGATGCGACTGGACAGTTGCAGTATATCGGTGATACTGGTTGACCCTACTTGCTCCAACAAGGGCATGTTGACGACGGCCTCAGAGCAGAAGAAGTTGGGGCTGGATACGGGTTGTCATGGTTTCATACCATGGCAGAAGCGGAGGCGTGCGGGCCCGGTGAATGGTTGAGATGTTGGGCTTCGTTGGAGACAGTCAGCTCAGAAGTATAAAAACAGTCACTCCTCACTGCATCAGTCGATACTTTCTCTTGTCGTCAGCAGCCTTCTTTTCACGTTCGTCCGTCCTGCCTTCTCTTCTTTCAGCCGATTGATTCGTGCTTCTCCTCTAGTCTCCCCATCACAAGGCCGCGGTTGACCCGTCGCATACAGATTCTTATCATATACCCCATTTGTGTTACCTCCGATCCCGCATACTCACTCAGAATGTTCTCCAAGTTGTTTGTCCTGGCTCTCGCCGCGTCGCCTTTGGTTGCCGCCCACGGCAAAGTTGCTGTCGTTACTGGTGATGCTGGCGGTAATGGTACGGCTCTGGCCATCAAGGGAGCCGTTGTTCCTGGACCTGGACCCAACTCCAAGGTATGCCCATCTAACTCCATGGTCAGGACTGAGAACTTTCTCTGACAAGCCCAACAGACTGAAGTCGACACGACCGTCTTCGGGAAGACCAATATCCTCTCCGACGGTCTGGGCCGCACGACTGGCTCAGGCAAGAACACAGTCTCCATGCTCAAGCAAGCCATGGCCCTTTCAGGCAGTACTCTTCCTCAAGTCTCTGCCTCTGGCGGCTCCATCTCCGGCACCTTTCACATTGTCACCACCGACGGTGCCGGTCCTATCCAGGCCGTCATTGACACAACTGGCACCGGTAAGTTCTCTAACGGTACCCTCCTCGATACCGTCACCCAAGTACCTGGAAAGAATGGCAACATCAAGGCTCCCAAGCGCTCGCTCTTCGTTAGAGCCATGGAGTCGGCTAGTATCTACAAGCGCGCTTCCAATGTTAACGAGGACTTCCCCATGAAGTTCAGTGTGCCTGCTGGTACCACTTGCTCCGGGACGATGAATGGATTGAACAATGTCTGTCTTGTCAAGATTGCGAATAGCAACAGAGCCGGTCCGTTCGGTGGTGTTGTTGCTATTCAGATCGCTGGAGGGGCTGCGACCGGCAACACAACCAGAAGGGCTGTTGACTTCAGGGCCTAGAGAATGTCTTTGGTCCGTGGATACGAGATCCGAGTGAGATGAAGGTTACCGGGAGCCGAATGTAAGGGAAGGCTGAGAGACACGAATTTCAAGCTGACAGGCTGGAACTGTTTGTACATAAGTTGAGTAGGCAGGACGAATTGAAGTTGGTGGCCATCATCCTCGTGTATCCTGCAGGTTCCCAACCCTGCGTAACACTACGCGCAGCCTTGTCCCAGTACGCTTGGTCAGACACTCTCACTTGCCAAGCCACCCCTCCCATCCAAGCTCTTGGAGCCTCGGCCGCCGAGACTCTGACTACGATATATGATCCAGAATTCCAACATGTACAGCAACAAGAAACCGAAGCCCACTTGGCTCAGTGGTAGAGCGTGTCAACAGTGCCGTCCCTAAGAAATATCTCTAGAACAGTATCTGTCAATGGCAAGATCCTCAGTTCAACTCTGAGAGTGGGTAGTTTCCTTTTTCTTGCTCTCTCATCCATGTCTTCCAGTCTACACCTGTACTTTGCATGTTGCACGTAAGCCAAGGTTTGTCCACACCTGCTGCCGACACTCGCCAAAGCCCGGACTGCAGGTATGAGCTGTAACCCAACATGGTCTTCCAACGAAAGCCCGCTTGGCTCAGTGGTAGAGCGTGTCAGCAGTATCGTCCCTAAGAAATTATCTCTAGAACAGTATTGTTAATGGCAAGATCCTCAGTTCGATTCTGAGAGTGGGTAGTTTCCTTCTTTTGCTTCTCCCATCTTTGCCTTCGAAGTCTACACCTGTATTTTGCATGCTTGCGTAAGCCAAGGACTGTTTACACCTGCTGCAGACACTCTCGCCTGTCCACCAACCCGCACTTGTAAGTTTCGTTTTAACACGACCTTCCAACAAAAGCCAGCTTGGCTCAGTGGTAGAGCGTGTCAACAGTGCCGTACCTAAGAAATATCTTTAGAATAGCATCTGTTAATGGCAAGATCATCAGTTCGACTCTGATAGCGGGTAGTGACCTTTCCTTTTGCTTCTGCTTCATTGTCACCACTAAACTTCATCCTCGAGGGATGTTTACGTGCATGGTAGGAATCGTGTGTTGTATTCGAGCTAACTCGGAGCAAGAACCACCCGTGTGTCGGTGTACTCCTTTTTTTCTCATGTCCAAGACAAACCTATGAGTTCGTTCCCTCACACTTTCTCCTGCTACTCGGTCAGAGGTGTACACTTAACCATCCAATCTGTGTTGTGCCAAGTCACCCCTCTCGCCCCCCTCCCTAGCACCCCCAACAGACATGTAATTGGGATAGACGAACAGCACAGCAACAAACGCCCACTTGGCTCAGTGGTAAGAGCGTGTCTGGAGTACCGTCCCCTAAGAATACCTCCCGTATCCCCAGACCAGTATCTTCAAAGGCAAGATCATCAGTTCGAATCTGATAGTGGGTAATCACTTTTTGTTCCGTTTGTCTCTTTTGGTTCATCGTCCTCAAGCCCAGTCGTCTCCACGATGTAAATCAAAGTGATAACCACAGCTCAGTCCCAGCGCTTACCACAGTGGTTTTCTTTGGCTTCTGAGCAGCAAAGAAATACATACAGACCCCCAACTGCTGCCGTTCTCCCGTACTTCGTGTTCTACCTCAAGGAGCCAAGCTACCCCTCCCCATCCAAGCGTTGGCATGCTTAGGTCGCCAAGGTCTACAATGCACATATGAACTAGAATACAATGCCAGGTAGTAAGAACAGCCCGCTTGGCTCAGTGGTAAGAGCGTGTCCAGAGTGCCGTCCCCTACGAATACCTCCAGTATCCCTAGCTCAGTATCTCTAAGGACAAGATCATCAGTTCGAGTCTGATAGTGGGTAGTCACTTTTTTTGCTTTTGCTTGGCCTTTCCGTTGACTATCCTGCGTTCATGTCCTTCCACGGTGTAAGTCGATTTAGGCTACCACCGTCAAGGCAAGCCCAAGGTCCTGTCGTTGTGGTCCTCTCTCGACCAAGGGCAGACGCGCACTGGTAACCTCCATGCTGGTGCTGCAGGCTTCCTCGTTTTGCTGCACTCCGCAGTCTGTGCCCAGCCAAGCCACCCCTCTCGTATGAAGCTGAGAATACCAAGCCTAGAATGCATGTATGAACTAGAACACAGTACCATACAGCAAGAATAGCCCACTTGGCTCAGTGGTAAAAGCGTGTCCAGAGTACCGTCCCCTATGAATACCTCCCAGTATCCCTAGCTCAGTATCTCTAAGGGCAAGATCATCAGTTCGAATCTGATAGTGGGTAATTACTTTTTTCTTTTTGGTGCTGAACAACCGGAAGCCTCGACATGTAACAAGCCTACCGATAATGAATGTAGGACAGATCATGAAGAAGAAACCGCGTTGTGGTTTTCATCTATAAACGTTTGCACATTCGCTTCTCTTCCAAGTTGTATGTCTCCGCATCTGCCCACTCAGTCGTACGTATCGTACCACAACAAGCAATGTACGTGCATCAGTCACACAACGGTGTCAGTTGAACTCGTAGATAAACTGACTACTGTTCTACCATGCCATCTAGTGCTCCAAGACGACCGGCTTCCCCATTTCCCAATTATCAATACTCTCTCGGATATTAACCCAGTATCTCAACCTCACAACCTCCCGTTTTAATGCTTCCAGGTCTCCAGACCTGAATGCTTCCCCAATAACCTCCTCGGCCTGCAGAATCCGCTGTTCGTTCTCTTCCCTCAGTCCCAAAAGTTCCTCCTCGCGCTCCGCCTCCTCAATCTGCTCCCTGGCCTCTAGCACTGCCTCAAGCACATCACCCTCTGGCCGAGTAATGCTGCCCGCTTCGTCTCCCGCCATGTCTATCCCGTATTGCTCCCGCAAAAGGTACTGTGCCCGGAGCAGAGGGTTGGAGAGGGTCCGGAAGGCCTCATTTATTAGTGCCGAGGCGCCTTCTGCTCGTCGACGGGCGGCAGGATCGGCATTGGCGTGGGCGTGGAAATCGGGGTGAGAGGAGGCTTGGAGACGTAGGAATTCCCGTCGCAGAGTGCGCACATCGATGTGAAAGGGGCCGTTCGGTGGTGGTCCATCGGACAGAGTGGAGGGAAAGAGGGCGTAGTATGATGGTGGGGATGGACGTCCTTCACCTGACACAGAGGAAGGGGGGATGTCAGATGCGGGTTGTTGCGCCCAGGGAGCTCTTGTGCTGGACAGCCATCGTCTGCCGGGCGGTTGAGATTGCTTGCGCAGAGGCAGAGTCGGTGCGTTTATGGCTGCAAATGTTCGCGGATTTGAGCTTGTTGCACGCCGTCTACATGCTGCGCATAGATGCGCCAACGCGCCACTGGTTCTTGGGGGTATCGAGGAACGCATGTTTGGTATGTTTTCTAGGCAAGTAAAGATTTAGATGTGCTGCTCATCTTGTCTGACTCTTTCGCGGATATTTCATCTAGCGCTCAGCATTCGCCCGAGTCCGGATGACGTAACCCGGTTCACGAACGTGACTCCGACAAGGTAGGCAAGTACCTGCGTACCTCACCTCTTGTGAGCAGACCCACTACAGCTCGCTTCCAGGGTCCCCACTGCAAGTCGTACCTGATCCACTGCATATTGAAGGTCAAGCACAGACCAGTCTCTACAGGTATAAGAAGACCGGCCATCCCAACTTTTTGAATAGGCTTTCTCTCTTTTCTTCTTCATACTTACCTTGTTCGTTGCTTCCGAGCTCAAGATTTCGGAAGCAAAGAGCGGGATGGCCTGCATTGCACAGCGTGGAGCCGACCGCTCTGAATTGTCCTTCGGGGCCGTTCCGGGCGTAATTTTTGATGCCTTTCCATTTTTCGCATTGATCGTTGCTTTAAGTAGCGACACTGAGAAGAAACTGTGCAATCCAGAAATGAATATTGCTTCAAACCCGTCAAGTGAGGTCTTGCATTTTCGTTTTGACTGAAGGTGGCAGTTGCAACCGCTGCCTACTGCCAAACGTCAAGTTCGAATGACTAAGCGCCTGGTGCTTCTGATTTACCTCAAATTTGTAGTGTTTTGCCAACCACCTACGTATCAACCACCATCACGCCTGCAAAGGCACAATTTATTTTATTTTATTTTGACTTCGTTTTACATGAGAGTTGTGAATCCTTGATCGTATCTGTCTGGTGCAGTAAAGATCAGGAATCCTGCTTTCTTAATGAGTACCTACAGTACCTACCTTAGTTACTTGGTGCTTTTGGGGCGCAGTCCGTTTTGACAGCTCTTGCCACACCTTGACGCCAGCTTCCTGTCTTTGAAGCTGCAGTGCATCTGGAGCTCCGTCATGGCTCCCGTTGACGCAGAGGTGCTGTCAGAGCACTACATTCCCACAGGCTGTCTCGAAGTCAGCTTGTCTCAAAATAGCAAGTTCTCGTCGCTTGCGGAGGTGCCCAAAGCTCACCCAGCAAATGCCTGCTGGATCAGCTTTCAGCTTGGCTCAAGAACCTCAACAGAAGGACACGAGTTGGATAACTGTCTATCGCAGTGGCTCCAGCCGTTTCACTCGCTCATTGCAAAACAATGGATCAAAGTCACGTTCCGTAAGAGCCTCGATGACCCAGGCCGTCTTATTCTGAGGATCTACTGTCTTCCGGACGATGTGGAACGTGGGCGGATTGATCGTACCCCCGAAAAGTTGCGGAAGGTGAGGAAAGAGCTGCTCTCACAACTCGATTATGCTCACACCAAGTGGGAGGGCCGAGTCGGATGTGACCGGCTTGACACGCCACGCTACTTCGACCAATGGCTTAACATGAGGGACGGAAAGGACAAGTCGTTGCTCGAACTATTCAACAGCCTTCCGTCACCGGACCCACGACCAGAGCAGATTGACAACCCGGATACGCGAGACATTGTCAGATGGCTCCTCGAAAAGAATGATCTACATGGCATGCGCACCAAGCTCTACCCATATCAGCAGAGATCCGTAGCTATGATGGTCCAGCGAGAGTCTCAGCAGCACAAGGTCTTGGATGCCCGCTACATCAAAGTCCTTGACCAGGATGGCGGTCCGTGGTACTATGACCGGGTCACAGGCGCATCTCTAAGGCATGCACCCATGTATGACTCTGTTTGCGGTGGTATTCTCGCTGAGGAGATGGGCAGTGGAAAGACGGTCATGTGCTTAGCCCTGGTACTCGCAACACTGCATCAAACCTCACGAATACCGGACATCTGGCGGGATAGGTCTCCCTACCGGAGGAAGAAGATAGGTTCCTTGGCCGACATGGCAGCTGCAACCGCAACACGGAATGGAAGTCCTTGGAGGTTATACTTTGGTCCTCATCAAGGGCAAATGGACTTTGCCGGATGTCTCGAAGCCATCCACAGGAACCCGGGATACTACTATCGCTCAAGTTTCAAATCTGGGTCGACCAGGCGGGCCCAGGCTCCTCCGCCACCGAAGAAGATTTGGCTTTCTCACACCACCCTGATTATAGTACCAATTAACCTCTTGAAGCAGTGGAAACACGAGATTGCGAAGCACACAACTTATCTGGAATTCATTGCTGTTGAGCGCCTTGATGGGGACCACGGCCTCCCACCGTTGCAGGAAATCCTGAAACAGGATGTGCTTCTCATCTCAAACTCGGTGTTCGAGGGTCTAGGAGAAGAGAATGAGCTGGCCAACATACACTTCAAGCGCTGTATCGTGGACGAGGGGCATCGGCTTGGAAGTTCATACAAGAGTAACCGGAGGAAGGTCCTGGAGAGTCTTCAAATCACGGCTCGCTGGATCGCAAGCGGTACGCCCGCCAAAGGGTTATACGGCGTTGATTCCACAGTGCAGCCTACCAAGGGTCGTAAGCTCATTGAGGAGTCTGCCAAACAGGAGGCGGAAGACCTGAAGAGGCTGGGCGGGCTGGCCACCCAGTATCTGAAGTTAATGCCGTTCTGCAACACAGACACGGATTGGTCCACCTATGTCATGCAGCCACGGCATCACAGCCGCGGCAGTGGAAGTCAGGACACGCTACGCCACATCATGGAGACTCTTATCAT